TGAACTGCTGATCTAGCAGTAGCCTGCAGTGCTGCATTTAACCACTGCGCCACCTCGGCTCTTCAAGAAGAAATGCCGGATGGACACTCACCATCAAAATCCGTGTAGACTGACTCCCTCAACAAGGCTGCAGACCCGAAGTCGATGAGCTTGAGGTTGCCGGAGCGCACATCCACCAGAATGTTCTCATCTTTGATGTCCCGATGGACCACCCCTTGGGCATGGCAGTGGCATACTGCTTCGACCACTTGCTGGAAAAAGTGTCTGCAAAGGTTCTCGGAGAGTGGTCCCTGCTCTGTGACATAATCAAAGAGATCTTGGCAATGCTCAAGGCGCTCCAGGATCAGGAAGCAGCTATCGGGAGTTTCGTACCAGTCCAAGAGGCGAATCACACCACGGTGCCCAGATCCTGACCCGACAAGTTTCATCAGGGTTACTTCCAGAGGAGCCACAGTTCCATTGGGCTGAAATGGGATAGAGAGAAGAATTTAAATTGAAGGGCGAGGAACAAAAATACTAAAGGAAGCAGCCCTCCCCAAGTTAATATCCAACAAAAATATTGGAGCTGCAATTCATGGAATTCCTCGCTTTTTTTTTTCTAAGCCAGAAATGTAGGAATTGCTAATGCAATACTCTTGAAGAGACCCTATTGCAGTAAGTTGAAATAAAAGGTTTAAAAAATTGCTCAGAGCCTATTCCACTCCATGATCCAGGTTTTATTTTTAGGTATTAGTCCTAAACAGCTAAAATCATAGTGCCTTATGAAGCAAACATGGGACACGGTGACTGGACCACAAAGCTGGAAAGAGGGGGCCTTATAAACTAATATCATCTCGAGGACCACCATTTGTTCAAAATCTGCTGCAAAGTATCCAAGTGCCCCAAAATCTATGCTGCAGATTTCTGGCTCACTTCTCACAGAACTACAATTTCCAGCCTTTCCAGAGTAAAAGGCAGAGCAGGATCCAGAATTGTAAAAGGCCTCCAGCACCCACAAACTTTCCCAGTGGGAAAGTCGATTCAGTGATGCTGCTTAGGGATAGGTAGTACATCCTTCTTCCCCCTGTTTATGCTCAACAAGGTCACGTCAGAAAAGTTCTACCTACCGAAGTGTTTTTTTAAAAACTTTTTTGTGTACACCTGATAAAATTCCTTTGCCTTTCTAACTCTTCCACTGATTGTGTGTTATAAAAATTATGACGTGTGTTATGAGATAAGAGAGAGGATGCAATCTACTTATCCCGGAGCTACACATAAAGCAGCACAGGCAGATAGGAGGAGATTTTTAGCCTAGCCCCAACCCACGGCCTCCATTATGTCACTTGTTCTTCTCTTCCAGCCTCTGGTCAGGTATAATGTTTTCCCACTCCAAGTTCTACCAGGGTTGGAATAGGTATATTCTTGATATTCTGCAAACTCACCAATTCAGCCCGCTCGGTAATCTTGCTCTTGGCAATGTGTTTGATTGCAACCTGTTGGAAAAAAAACAAAAACACAGAGATCTGAGTTCCAGCACTCATCTTCCTTCCCACCCATAGAGGCGAAGCAGAATTAGATTTCCTTAGACCAAACCCGGTTCCACCACAAATGCGCGCACAACAAAAGCGCGCCTGACTAAAGCGCGGTGACTAAAGCGCGGTGACT